GTGTGTGTGTGTGTGTGTGTGTGTGTGTGTGTGTGTGTGTGTGTGTGTGTGTGTGTTGGAGCCGTGCCACGTGCAGACAGGTCAGTCCTCGTGCTCCAGGCTGTCCTGTCGAGCCTCTGTCCTCTTCTCTTTGTGGCACACGAAGATGCGCCGCATCTCCTCCTCGTACCGGATGAAGTTCTCCCCGAACCGGGCCCAGGCCTTTAGGGGCACCGTGATGGTGTTCCTGTACGGCTGACGCACCTCGCTGATTTTCAGGAAGACGCCGTAGCGGTTCGAGCCCACGTCGAAGTAAAAGCGCTTGTTGTCCACGCGAAAGGACGCCGCCTCCGGAAGCTCGGGGCTGTCCAGCCGACTCCGGGAGCCGCTCCGGCCGTGATCGTCGGCGTCGTCGTCGCCGTAGTCTTCGATGAGCTGGGACAGCGCGTCTCTGAACTCGATGAGCCCCTGCGCGGGCAGCACGATGGTCTGCTCGATGCCCTGGCCGTAGTAGCCCATGGTGCCGTGGCCTTTGCTGACGGTCTGCCGTATGCGGAGGAAGCGGCCTCTCTGGTTCTCCTTCAGGTCCAGGAAGTACTTCCTGTTGTCCCGCTCGATGAACTCGCTCTTCAGGACGCGGTGGGCATGGTCGTCCGAGCCCACGGAGCCGGCGGGAGACGTCGCCGCGTGCTGCTCTCGCGCTTTCCTGCGAGCGTCGTGGCCGCCGCCGCCGCGCACCTGCCCGTTGCTGCTCTGCTCCTCGGCGGAGTGGGGCGCCGGGCCCGGGCCCGCCCGCAGTCCGATCCGGGCGTAGTAATCGATGAAGTCTCCCAGGCTGTAGCGCAGAGCCGGGGCCATGGACATGGACAGCGTCAGCTTGCTTTTCCGGATGTTGTCGTGGCGGCCTCTCCCGATCCACACCTCGGCTATCTTCAGGAAGCGGCCGCGCACGCTCTGCTTCACATCCAGGTAGAAGCGCTTCTTCTGGATGTCGACGCGTTTGGAGGCCAGCTCCTGGATGTCATTCCCCGGCTGCTGCTGCTGCTGCTGCTGCAGAGCTCCGGGCTGGATGTACTGCTGCTGAGGCTGAGGGTACCCGTGTCTCGGCTGGGAGTCGGATGCGAGCTTACTCCTGCCTCTGTCCATCCCCCTGCAGCAGCCATCAGCCATCATCATTTATATTCCACCCGTACGGCGCACAGGACAAACCAGGCTCACACATCTACTCCCCCCAGCTGGCTGGAGCCGGGCACAGGTTCACCTGAAAATGGCTGCTGCTGCTGCTGCTGCTTTACATTCATCCTCCCCGTCAGAGTCGAAAAGCACGGCGCCGGGGCTCCGCTGCGGACTGCCTCCATGTTCCCATCAGCTGTTTGTGCCGCAGCCGCTGGTCTGATCGGGAAGCAGGAGACCCGAGCTGTGAGGAATGAACCCAATGAACTCGTTCACCCCCCCTCCCCGTCCTGAGAAGCCCTCTGTTGGAGAGACGCGACGTCAGCAGTGACTGAAGGCTGCATTCACTGCAGCTCCTCCCAACACGCCGTGAACTGCTCGGTCCGGACCCGCATTCACCTCATAATGTCCAGAACACGAAAAACCTGTTAAAAAATCAGCATGTAGGAGTATAAAACACACACCTGTCCAGTTTAAACACTCTGGCAAGGATGCTTCATCATCCTGGAAAAGCCATTGATAAGAGGTCAGAGCTGCACTGCCTGAACACTGTTGAATTATGTAAGCACTTGGTCATAAAGAGGAAAACCTGTTTCTGCTCCTTCCTGGCAGCTTGGGTTCATTGAGTTCACAAAGGGAAAACAGTATTCTTCATTCAGGTTCCTGCTGATTTCACGTTGCTCATTTTTAGCCCCAAAAAATCTCAACGTGCAGCACCGTCAGTCCCAAATATCACTGGTTTGGATGACACAAACATCCCTAAATGACAGAGGGTACAACAGATTTATTTTTATTTATGTGTTTATTGGCATTTTCTCCCGCTCCCCAAAATGAACGCACGTTGGATTATTTAACTCCCAAATTGTCCTGTGACTGGCTGTTTGTGTGGCCCAGACCTGACTGTTCACAAACGTTTTCATTTTTGACTCACAAAATAACGGTGACCAATACTGACATCAACATTTTCAAAAAACAATTAGCTTCTTTTTGTGTTTGTGTGTGTGTGCTCACTTTTTTTATGTGACACCAAGTGTCTTGGGAAAAACCAGAGTTGTAAAGTAACTAAGTACAAATACTTTTTGGTTATCTGTTACTTGACTAATTATTTTTCAGCGTACTTTTTACTTTTACTCATTACATTTTTACACAACTATCTGTACTTACTCACTACATTTTTAAAAAAGGTAAGAAGTAGAAAGTATTACTCCTATTTTATTCCAAGTTGTTATTACTTAAAAATATATATTATGGATCAGTGGTTCCCAAACTTTTTATCTTCTGACCCACAAAATATCCATGGCAAAAAATGGTGACCCCAAATATTACTGGTCTGAGTACACAAACTTTGTTAATAACCCTAAAAACACAGGCTTTTGACAATCTAAACAGTTTGTACACAAATATAAATACTTATTTATACTTAGTTTGTGTTTTTGTAATAATTATAGGGAAAATATTACATCAGCAATTATTTTATTACCCTTTAAATTGATTTCTGGAGATTATCCAAGGTGCTTCATAACCCATAATTGGGTCCCAAGCCCAACTTTGGGAACCAAAGTGCAGTGGTTCCCAAACTTTTCAGCTTTTGACCCACAAAATAACAGCAGCAGAGACCTGTGCCCCCAACTATTTTTGGATGATACACATTTGTATCAGGTCAACAAAACATGGGCATAGTAACAATATTTTTATACTACATTTATCCGTTTTTAAATACACTAACCTCACTCCTTTGTAACAACTAAGACAAAAATGTAATTAATTCAGAAAATCTTTTCAGGACCCCACCTTGATGTTTCGGGACCCCACTTTGGGTCCCGACCCCAACTTTGGGAATGACTGTTATAGAGTGAATTTAATTGTGGTTGGATGAGAAGTATAAATATATATACCATTCTGACAGCTTGTACACAACCCATCACAGCTGCACGCCGTTAGAAAAAATATTTTTTGGAGAAGTCACCTCCCAATAAATGTCATTTTGGAAAATCTAACTGCTCACTTTTACTCAGTACTTTTACTTTTAATACTTAAGTAGATTTTGTGTCAGAAATTTACTTTTGATACTTAAGTACAAAAAATATCAGATACTTAAGACTTTTACTCAAGTAATATTTTTATAGAAGACTAACTTTTACCAAAGTATTTTTATGATACTTGTACTTTTACTCAAGTATCACTTTGAGGTACTTTATACAACACTGGGAAAAACGTAAGGAAAGTTTAAAAAAAGCATTTTAATAAATGAAAATCTATTGATTATTCTTAAATCTACACAGAACAATGAACAGTTGTGACCCAACACAAAAATAACATTTTTACGGCTCTTTTTGATGCTGCCACGAACCTTTCATAAAACTTTATTTGATAAATTGTTTACCTTATTAAATGTCTTGGATATATATTATTTTTAACACTTAATAAACATTTCTTTCATCAAAAAAATAGCAAAAGTGTTAGCTGGTGTATCAAATTGGATGATTTCTGATATACTTGAAGTGAACAGTTTGCAGTTGTTTCAAATAATCCTTTAGCAACCTTCAGGAAAATCAAACAGGTCAAAAATTCCCAAATCTGTTGCATCTATCTTATTAAATAGAACATATAATTAAAAAAATCATGACTATTAGAGTTATGGGTGTTTTCATATTCCCAAAGTTTTAAGCCAATAAAAGTGATTTTTGTAGCCCTAACAGGTGGCACAATAACAAATCCAGACACACTTCACAGAAAATGTTAGCATCATAATCAAACTTTACAGCCAAGTACTATTAAGTAAAATAAGTGAATTATAGCTGAGAAAGAAAACACTACAGGCTCAGTGCTGTGTTTCAATCCCTGGGTTGGATCTGAGGTTTTTCTCATGTGGGTTTCCTCCCACTGTGCCTTCAGGCCCAGGCCTCCCTTGAGAGATCTGAGAGCTCAATGGGATTTGCCTGGTTAAATAAATTAAATGAAAAAAAAAAAACAAAAAAAAACAGATGGTACACCATTACAGGCTGACAGAGACATCTACCCACAGACCTTTGAGGAAAACCAGACAATATGGTGAAACACACATGCACAACATTGAAACTCTGAACAGAAAGACACCAGGTGGGTTACATACCTGCAAGCTTCTTGCTGTGAGTCACCACTAACCACAGCCTCACAATGCTGCATGTGTGTCATTTCTGTGTATTTTTCTGTCAGTTTGATGACATTTTACAATATGAAACAGCTCCAAGTTTCATGGGATACAAAAATGGTCCCATCTTACCGTGACAGCTGGCCCAACACTGATGATTTTATTTACAAGAGTATTGTTATTTTTTCATTCAAGGGTAGTCGACTTCCTTAGACCCTCAATAATCAAATGTAAGCCTTAAAAAGGACAGAAATATAAGAAATATGAACAGTGTTCTTAAAATGTCTAAAAAAAATTATGTGAATTTGCGTGTGGAGAAAAATACAGCAGCTATAACCTTTTCTCAAATTAAAAAAAGTCAGAAATTTGATTATTAAATGGTGACAAAATTGCTCAGCAAGTCAGGCTCAGTCATGTATTTCTTTAGTGTAGGCTGCTCCAAGTCTCACTTCCAATCAACAGTGCACCTATTTGCACTTTAAAGTTTACAGGGATTTTGTTTTTTTTTTTTATTTTAAACATGCAAACTTCTATCACTTTTTATTCCAATTTGCATTAAATCTTTTTTTAATGTTTCAGATTGTTGATTTTTCTCACAACCTGAGAACTGATCTCAGTTATTTGTCAGATAACCACAGAAAGGTTAGGACAAAACATCTACAGAAAAACTACTGATCCTTTTATCAGTTAAGCTTAAAGTACATGCATGTCCTTCAGATACAAAAAGTCAAATAAAACGTATTTTTATTTCAGACACTTAGAATAATACACAATTTTACCCATTTTATCACAGAACTGGCAGATTTTCTTTTGAACTTGGCTCAGCCAAAATGAAACAGGAAGTGACATCAAAGGGGAACTCTCTAAGAAAGAGAACTCCCTGGAGTTTTTTTTTTTTTTATTATTGAAACAGTATCATGACTATTCATCTCTCTGGTTGTGACTAAATATAATCTAAAGAGTCATCAGGGTCTTCTCTATAGTTTGGGTTGTTAGCCGTTGTGTCACCGATCTGTTTACATGCATTCATTCCCCTTTGACATCACTTCCTGTTACTTCACGTGTGAATATCTCAAGAACTGTTCATTTCAGCAGTGTAAAAAGTGTTTAATTTTGTAATACTGTTAACATTTATTACAAAAAAGGCACATTAACCTTATTTACCTTTTGTTCATTTCCTCTTTATAGGGTCACAACAGCGAGTTATCCTCCTCCATCTCACTCTGTCCTCTTTAACTGCATCCTTAATCCTCTGTCTTTTTCCTGGTAGCTGCATTTCATGTCCAAGCCAAATACTGTAAGTAAGTAAATAAGCTTAACAATAAAAAATAAAATAAAACAGAGACCAAATTGTTAAAGTTGTAACTTTATTGAATATACCCAGTATGTGTCAGCTTTAACTTCAGTAACTTCATGACATTTATGTGTAGAGCATATATTTCAGCATATTGTGTGTCTAAATGAAAAAACACCTGGTTAGTAAAACATAACATTTTTGCAAAGCTGGCAAGAGTCCAAAAGGTAAGAGTCCATGGAAGCAGAAATTGGAGACATGTTTAACCTGAAGTGCCAATGTCTCTTAAAGCTGTGGTTTATGCAGGCGTTACCTCTAAACTCTGTGAAGCATGTTTAGGCCATCACTGTGAAATCGCTCGGAAGGACAGTACAACAGACAACATAAAGAGACATTCTTGTCACACAATGTCTAATTTTAAAAAAATGTTTAAACAAACAGGTTCTGCATTTTCTTAAACAAGTTAAACAATTTCTAAAATATTAAAGTAAAAAAAACATGAAATGTTCTAAGCTGGACAGTAAAATTCATTGCAATAAAAATAAAATGTTTTGTTTTGTTTTTCCCCTTGCTGCATTAACTCTGCAGCCTTCAGGTTTTCAACAATATAAAACAAACAAAAACGTCCTCACAAAGCTGACCAACACATCCGTGTTTGGTCTCTTTTCTTTTCCATCAAAGCTCAGCTTGTGGACGGTTTCCTGGTTCTGCTGGAGGTTCCATCCTGTTAACAGGGAACTCTCCCCAGTCGCCCGCTGCTCTGTGCATCCACATGACTGGGATTAGAACCAAGTGAAGACTGGACAAAATCTACTGTTTTCCTTAGACTGAAAACTATATACTAATCTGTATTTTTTACAGAGGTGCATAGTAACAATTTTGTTTTTGTTACAGTACTTAATTTTTTTTGAGGATTTGCAATTTTACAAAATATTTTTTGAATCGTAACTTTAGCTTTTATTTAAATTCAAAATAGTTGTTTATACACTAAAAAATTGTGTTAAATTTACTTAACCAAGTAATGTGAAGTGGCTACACTAAATCGAGCTGAGTAATTGTAAAGTAATTTACACGTTTTCTTTAAAAGAAAATGTATAAATTGATCAGTTGACTCTACTTGATTTAGTGGAGCCACTTGACATTACTTGGTTAAATAAACTCAACATTTCATCTCTTAGTGTGTGTGTAAAAGTCCCAATAATTGTGAGCAGTTTTAGCACTTTTCTTATCAGTGAAATTAATTTTTACCAACGTCACTTTCTGGTATGACATTTTTACTTTTGCTTAATTACTTTTTACACCTCTGATTTTGTAATATACCGACTCTGATTGTATTATTTTTTTAACTGAACTAAATCTGTTTTTAACTGAATGTAACTTGATACAAGCGGGACTTGTTGCTATTTTTTTGTAATTAGAAGCCAAAAGAAGACTTTTGTTGTGAATTTGCACGTTAATAAACTGGAATTCCAGTGTTGAACTCTTTCTGGTAAATACACAGCTGCTCGCTGGAGGGCAGAAAAAAAGAAGCGAGGATGCAAATTCACATTGCACTTTACATTATTATTTTGTGGTAATCCTGCATCACTTCTTTGCTTTGTTTGTTTTAAATTGCTTTAATGTGTCAGTTAATGTGTTTCATGTTGTTTGTCCAACGTGACCCCATTGCTAATTCTGTCAATAAATTAGCCAGGTAAAACTCTATTTTTTTGCTACAAAAAGAACAAATATTCTGTACAAAAAGTGTCAAAGGTCTGTCAGTAAATCTGTCAAAAGAAGCTAAACACTGATTCTTATCCTCTTGTGCCAAAGCAGAGTTCAACCAGCAGTTTGGTTGAACAAGAACTCCTTTGAAAGAGTTGGTGATAGAACCATGTTGTTTGAAGGAGACAACCTGCCCTGCAGAACACCTGTTCATGCTCTGCATTCACCCTTGGGACAGGCAGCTCACCTATTTTCAATTCAATTATTTATTTATAAGGACAGTGCACATTAATATCCAAAAGAACATAAATGCACTGGAGTTAGCACAATGACACAATTTCCATCCATTGCCCTGCATCAACACTGTCAACAGCTACATTTAGTGTTGGGCTTCTTTGCTCCTAGAAATGTTTTTTTCTTTAATATATCTATTTCTGTCTGTTATGTCACAGCCTACAGCTCTGTATATATACAGAGAAGTGAGTTCTGATCCATTTTTCGGTGGTTATCAGTGTGACACTTTGCTGAAATGCTTGGTAACTGAAAACAAAGAAAAACACAATCTCCTTGTTTAAAAGTTTGGGGGTGGGGTTATTGCAAAATTGACTTTTGGGGGGGGCTTTATCTCATGTTATAATGTAACTTCCTCATCAAAGAGTGTTGCTTTGACTCATTCATTCATATGTGCCTGGAAAATGCACAATACCCCACCACCCAAAACAAAACAAAACAAAATAAAACAAAAAAAGATTATCTGAAAGTGCAGGAAGTGGTAGCACAACATAGAAAAGACCGTTTGGAGAAACAAAAAGAAAGCAGTTTTCTCCAAGTAGCTGCATAAAAATGTGCCAAAAGTATTGGCCTTAAAAAAACAAAGTTAAAATGTGAACACAGATCCATGATTCAGTTTTTAAAGTCCTCTGAAATCAACATTTTTCACACAAAAACAAGCCTCGCTCTGATGCGTGCAGAAAAGCCTTGGCGTGCTCAAAGCCATGTAATCAGAAGATAGATTATCCTCAAAATAGCTACAAGTCATGAAGTATTTAGGACTAGCCAGTCACAATGTTGCTCCTCAATTTTTTTCTAACTTAGGGCCCTGTCACACTGTGATGTTTTAGACAACTTATGAGACATCTGCAAATTTTGTCCAACACACTGGCACACGCTGAGACAGAGAAAAAAAAAGCATCAACACCTTCAATGAGACGTGATCATACCATGTTCCTAACGACTTATCCACTTATATATTCTTTAGGCGTGCAACGATACAGAAAATTCACGATTTGGTTCGGTTCGATACTTCAGTCTCACGGTTTGATGTTTTTCGATACAAAAAAAGAGAAATTTCCATGCTTTCTTGTTTCATGCTTCTTCTTTTTAACTTGTAATTTATTTAAATTAATTATGACCGTTTGTTTAGCCTCAAAAGTACAGTTTTTTAATTAAATGTTGCTGAAAAAGCGTTTCTCAGTGGATCTGTGCTCGACAAGACAGCCTAGGTGTAGTCGAACACAGATCCACTGATCCTTTCAGAAGACAAGTTGATAAAATGAATTTAAAAAATCTGTATTTTTCCATAAAAGTGTCGATACGGGTACATGTATTGTTGCACCCCATATACATATATATATATATATATATATATATATATATATATACACACACAGTATATACATATATATATATACACACACAGTATATATATATATATACACACACAGTATATATATATATATATATATACACACAGTATATATATATATATATACACACACAGTATATATATATATATACACACACAGTATATATATATATATATATATACACACAGTATATATATATATATATACACACACAGTATATATATATACACACACACAGTATATATACACTTATGAATAACAAATGAATAACTTACCTGAAAAATAAGTGAACCGATGCATAAATTATCTTTAAACATACCTGTAACTTATGCCTCACTTATCAGCAGCACGTCGACATAAGCTGACAAATTTTGAACATGTCCAAATTTATTGTCTGGCCATCATTCTGACAACATATTCACAACTTACACCTAACTTGTGCAACTTACAGCAACGTGTTGAACAAAATTTGCATAAGTTGTTTAAAATGTCATAGTGTGACAGGGCTACAGCCGTAGGATAACAGCTTGTCCCACTGCATAAAGTGACATTCATGACACTACAGCAAGACAGAGAGGACTGGCAGTCTAAGCAATTTTACTACGAAACTGGTCTTGACCGTTGAGTTTTACAGGGCAAATTCTACTCCAAGTCTGATCTCACGTTAGACTTTACAACTTGTTTTAAGTCTCCCAGTCTATGCAGACCTGTTTAAGTGCAAAATATGTGTCATTTGTCACTGCGTGAAAGGCTTCAACAAAAAAAACAAATTAGATAAAGGAAGGCACAGTTATGATTGTGTTCTTACTGAGGTCTGTAACCATTCAACTGAGGCATGTAGCTGGACACTGATCCCGGTTCTCCATCAGCTGACTGGCTGTCTGCTGGTGCCCACTCAGCGTCCTCATCAATAGGGCAGAAGTCCTGCTGGTCCAACTGCATCTGCTTGAAGTCGTCTCGTTCAGCGGTCCCTTGGTTCTCTGTGCCGTGAGTGAAAGACAACTGGAAGTGTCTGCTGCCCTCTTGCACTAACATATCCTGGCTCTCCTCAGAGTCCAGCAGTGGCTGGGTGGACTCTGACCGGGAAAAAATGGAATGCTGCGGTTGCGAACTCGGGGTCTGGCCCTTGTAACCGCTGGAGGCCACAACAGAGGAATACTGAACGGTGCTGGCAGTGGTGTCAGCCATGTCAGCGCCCTCATCGCTGTCAGACACACTCTGGCGAGGTGAGGACATGCAAGAGGAACCTCCAATGCCACTGCTGTGCTCCTCAGACAGATACTTGTCCTTCTTCAGGGAGAGACTGGCCTTGTCCTCTTCACAGCCATGTTTAACGTCACACACACAAGCATCATCAAGCACACAGATGCCAAATAGAGAGTTCTCCTTTGGTGTCTCAGTCTGCAGAATAAAATAAAATAAAATAAAATAAAAAAGTTGAACTGCATCAAGATTGAAAACTGACATTTCAGCTATTCACACTCAGTGTACATGATTGTTTAAAATAAATGAACAAATGGTTTGGCTGCCTTCATTTGTCTTTAAATCTAAAGTAATATCACATGTGGAGTCCCTCAAGGCTCTGTACTGGGACCTAAGTTATTCATTTCATAAGTGAATGGCTTAGCAAATGTGTCAGGACTTTTCAAATGTGTTTTATTCGCTGACGATACATTTTTTTGTTTAGGTAAAGATATAGAAAAAATGCTTGAGATGGTACAGAAAGAATTTAAGAAAATACTAAATTGGTTTCAACAAAACAAACTGACATTAAATTTGGATGAAAACAAATTACATGATATTTAGTAATAGGAAGACAACTGTTGATTTCTCATTTGAAGTAGATGGTATTGAGATCTGTAGAGTCAGTGAGGTGAAATTTCTGGGTGTCATCATTGATGACAAGCTGACAGAGACCTCACATACATTATTTAAGAACAAAAATATCTAAACCTATTGGGAGTACTGAATAAAGTCAGGGAGTTATTCAATAACAAGGCTCTGCTTGTGTTGTACAATTCAGTAATTGTTCCACATTTAAGTTACTGTATTGAAGTCTGGGGTAAAGCCTGCAAAACAATTACAAATCCAATTTTTGTTTTACAGGAAAGAGCCATAAGAATTATCACTAAAAAAGATTACAACCATCCATCAAATACATTATTCTGCAAATTGAAAATTTTGAAATTCCATGATTTGGTTGACTATAATATTTTACTGTTTATGTACAAGGCTCATAAAAACTTATTACCTTCCAACATTTAGGCAAACTTTGTTAAGAGAAACACTTGTTATTATGTTTAGGGGATGGAAATGTTTGTGAAGCCATATTTTCATACTTGTTTGAGAGAAAAATGTACTTTAATCCAGGGTATAGGATTATGGAATGGTCTGGAGGATGATCTTAAAAATGCTAGATCTATGTATATATTTAAGAGACATATAAAAGCTAGTTTTCTGAAGGTATATGAAAGAGCAAAATGTGAAGCTATATGAACTGTTGTTTGAGTTGATGTTTTAATCTATATTTTTATTTAGTATTGTTTTGTAAATTATCTTTTCTTTGAATATATATTGGGGATAAAAAGGGGCAAACATAAAATTTTTTCTTCTGCTACCTTTCACTTTATTTTGATTTTTTGATTTGTGTGTTTTCTTAATCTCTATTGCATATAGTTATTTTGTTTTTAATGAAATGAATAAATTTTTTGAATTGAATTGAAAAAAAAAAATCTAAAACTGGAGCCAAGAGGAACAGAGCTGTTTAATGTCTCCTCTTTTTTCACCAACAAAGACTCACAAATGGTTGTTGGGGGTTTACCTTCACAGGATAATCAAGAGACCAGGTCCCAATGGTGCTTTCACCAGGGTTAGGAATCTGAGGCCAGAGGTTCTCCTTGATCCTGTAAAGAGAAACAGTGGACATTATAGAGCTACCAGCTGGGAATAACTTTAGAACACACTTTTACATTTACAGTTCATTTCTGATGAATATGTTCAGGGAACAAACTGAACGGTCTGGATTTAATACAAACAGTTAGGGCTACACGGTATATGCGGTAGACGGTAGAAACGTATGAAGTTGGCCTACGGTAGAAATTTACCCTCAACCGTACTGTCGTCATTATGTCATCGCACCTGTGTCAACAGGGCTGTGAGTGCAGAGACAACTGAGCAGGAGTTCAAAATATAATGAAGAAATTCTAGCGTTTTAAAATACATATAGCGAGAATAAATCCTCAAAATTTCGTCCTCCCGCTGTAGAAAAGTTACGTCGGGATCATTTCCTCCTCTCCTTTCGCTGCACGTCGCGCAGAGCGAAGCTTTAACAACTGTAATTTTTCACACCCAATTGTCGGAGAAAAAAATGTTTTATGTATTGTTACCCACAGAGATTGTTTTAAAAAAAGGCGTGGACGTTCGTTCAGTCATAAATCCATCTCGCTAATGTAAAGTCGGCTTCTGCTCTGATGATCAAGATGATGAAGATGAGCGTGCAGCAGAGCAGCAGCTGATAGCAGGCAGAAGCTCATTGTTTGGCAGACAGATATTAAAGCAAAAATGTTGGGTTTCATTAAGATTTCAGTTTTCTGCAAAAAAAATGCTCTAAAAATTACATTATCTTAACTTTTTATGATAATTTTCTACCACGATATATACAGTTACCGTGAAGGGGTTCAATTTATACCGTGATATGAATTTGAGGTCATACCGCCCAGCCCTACAAACTGTGACATTTAAAGGTAAATGTTACACTAATGGGGAAAAAACAAGACACACTGAATGTTTAACTGTAACTTACACATCCTTTTTGTAGAGGCATAAAGAAATGGTCATGAGAACCAGAAACAGGAAGCCAAGGCTCACTCCGACCACAATACCCTCAACCATTCCTGGTGCTGAGTGGGAAATGGGAACAGATTACCAGCGGTGTAAAACCATTTACAACACTCATTTTGACAGATTTTTAAAGTTACAAAACATTTCATCTATTAACTCTAACTAACTAAAGGACTGTAATCAAAGTTAGAATGGAGACATGAACTGACCATATTTCAGAGTGGTGAATGAGTGATGAGAGCTGTTTGCTGAGCCACTGATGGTTGAAGCTTGGATCCACACATCATACTTGGTATTGCCCAGCAGTGGCTTCAGGGTGTAAGAGGTGGTATTAGGCGGGACTTTTACAGCTGCAAATGGACAAAAGAAAAAACAAACAGTCTGGTAAATAAAATTATGTTAAAGTCATTCCAGCCTTCTAGAGATGCATTGATTACTCAGATGATTTCTACCTCGACTGACCTGATTAGTAGCTGACAGATGAGCAGTCATAAGTAGACATACGCTTTTAAATCCTTCTTTTACACATTTAAATGGTTCAGTTGGTGTCTATATAAAGTGGAACTGCAATGCTTCAATCTGAATTCCTGCTCGTGGCAACTTTACCAGCGCATCTTTCACTCCTTTTCTGATGTGCGTCTTAGATCAACTCATTTTGATGCTGTCTCTTTAAATCCAAACTAGGCATTTCATACCCCGCCCCCCTTCAGCTTCCAGACCGGTTCATTTTAGTTTGATAGAGGGGTTTATGACTACATAGCAGTGCAGAAACTTGTTATTTACAAATTAAAATGTAAACAAGAGAAGACTGGTCCATCCAGCCTTAAATGTTGGAGCCAAAATCTGACCCAGAGAGAGAGAGGAGAATAAAGATGAGGAAATTGTAGTTGGTAAAGTTATTTGGCAGTTCCGTCACAAATAATTTCATCATAGAAAAAGAGAAAAACGAATGGGTTGAAAAATATGACCAAACAGAATATAAAGATATCTTTGCTGCACTGGGAGAAACAAAATTAAACTTTTCCACACTCCTAAAGACTCCAAGGACACAACAAAATGCATTTAACAGCTCCTTTATACGGCCCCTAGGGCTGGGCGATTATTTGATCGTGATTATTGATAGAGAAAAAATTTAGGTTGATTATGGTGATCAGCTGTGAGCCTCTTTACTTGATTAAACATGGCGGAAATGTGCGTGACAACAAGCAATCAGAATACACCTTCACCTGCTCCACTTCTGTTTATAAGATGCTAAGGCAGACGGAATCGTGGAATTGACCAAACAGAACGTAATCTGACGCACTTTTCATTAGCTGCAGTTTTCTAGGCCAGTCTGAACGTGTGCATCTCTACAGCAATATTTCAACCAAGAGGACATTTATTTAAAAACAACAATACCTACAACAAGTACTTACCATGTATGTCTTTCTCCTTTTTATAGAATATAGTGTAGTGAGTGATGAAGCCCCGTCTCAAGTTCAGAGGAATCTCATTCCACACCAGATGAACCCGATCATATCCTGGGTTACTCTTGTTAATCGAGGGGCCCTCTGATGGAGCTGCAGCCACAACAATAACATGTTAGTTAACCACAAAAGTGTGGTTCACTCAAGTAAAACAAACTACAATAAACACAAATGCTTCTCTGTAACTTGAAAACTGAAATCCAGTGAAACAGTTTATGTAACCATGATACATATCAAAAACCCCACGTTGGTAATGGATTTTCATTTGTGGTCAGAGAATTTAAAAGCTGTTATACAAATTTGTTCAAGTAAAACCACTCACTGATCTGCTAATCTGCGGCTAATCTGCGACAAATTCATAACATTTCCTATTAACTCTTCACAATAAAAGCATCCCGCTGACTCAACAGTCAAGAGGTTTGAGGGAATCAACAAGTTATGTGTAAATAAAGCAGATATTTCAGAAAGCAAAACATCAGGCAGGAGAGAAAATAAAGGGATGAGCGAAACCACTAAAGTTGGCCTAATGAGCAAGGACCAATAAAAATGGATTTAGTGCAAACATTATTCAGAAAATTTACACTAGTAAACATGGTTTTGCTAAGGCAATATTTGTACTAAGCTGATTTGCACTTTAAAACACTTTTACTGCACGTTTGGAAGATTTTTCTGACGGCTGAGCAAGTTCACAAACCTTTTTGTTTAAACCATCACAATACAAAATGCACAACACTGAAGTAGTACTGTTTTTAATAGACGCAAGAAAGTACATAAAACATACAATTACCTCTAAGAAAATTTAAAATAAATAATCCCTTCAGTCATGGAAGATTCCTTACCTCCTTGTTCCAGAAAGGTATCTTTACTGGCTGGATTTCCGATACATCCAGAGTATAGTGGATAAACTGACACACTGTAGCGAACAAAAGGCTTAAGGGGGCCTGGATTTGACAATGATATCAGTGAGATAAACACATATTTTACATGAGCAGATGAAATATCACATTAATGAAATCAAATATTTGCACTCCTTAATTCTTCAAATTACCTTTAATTATAGTCCGTGTAGTGTTTTTTTTCTCTCTCTGCCAGTCTATTCCCCCATCATAGACCCATTCAATCACATACTCTGACACAGAGGTGTTATTGTGTTTCCATTCTAGGAACAGCTGGCCATTATGGGGCCAAATATTCATTTCTTTAATTGGTAAATGGTCTGTAATAAAGGACATAACACCAAATGTTAGCCAAACCAAACAACTTACATCATATCACATAATAAGTGACATCAATAATATGCTGCATAGCCCAACTGATGTTTTCCATTTCTAGTTCAAGGAGTTCTGATCTCAAATGGAGTCATTGCATCTAATTACATGTAGACATTTTAGAAAGAGGTTTTATTAATTCAAGTTTCACCACTTCTTAGTTTTTTTTCTCATTTTTTCACTTTTATTTTCACTGGTCAAAGTATGATTAGCTGATTCTGATGACTAGCCAGTCAAGCTGATGGAGGTAAATTCTATGTTAGATCATGTACCAGTACCAGTGTCACCTGTAACATAATCTGCAGGGCTGGAAATTAAAGATGTTCCCCACTGGCCACAGCGGTTGGTGGAGAAAATTTTGTAATGGCCACTCGAACTTTTTACCAGCCACTATTTTTTTTTGTTTGTGTAACATTGTGGCATTTAGACAACTCATGGTCTTTGATGACCTATTCAAATTGTTTGCGCCTAAAATTAGGTATTGGCATTTAAAATCTAAAATTCACAACAGGTGTGAAATTTTTTTCCTGCTCAGACCCATTTCTTCTGTGTCAAAAAAAAGCACTGAAAGTTTTGTTCTATTCGACTGAACTGTTTTCAACATACAATGGTTTTTAGGGAAAACAATTTTTAGAGTATTAATGCCAGTCTGTTTGCCCAAAATTAAAAAGATGGCATTTTTGAGATTTGCTGTTTGCCAACAGTCGAAACAAAATTGCAAAAAAACAGTCAGTCAAGTCACCACTGTTGCATGCTGCAAGCAGTTACTTTAATCCAAATTCAATTGATAAATGGCTTGAACTTAGCAAGTCCATACGGACTCTAAAGCACTTTACACTTCAGTCATTCACCCATTCACACATAATGATGGTAGTAAGCTACAGCCACAGCTGCTCTGGGGCACATTGACAGAGGCGGGGCTGCCGGACCCTCTGACCACTATCAGCAGGCAAAGTGGGTGAAATGTCTTGCCCAAGAACACGACTGAGATGGCTGGAACGGGGGCTTGAACCAGTAACCTACCGGTTCCAGGACGACTCCCCCAATCAGCTGCCCTAATTGCAAACAAATACAAACCCACCACAGTGGCAGGTGCATTGTTTAGATTTACACTCCACTTCATGATTCTACTAGCACATGGCCAGTGACGGATGCTAATTTCCACCCGATAGTCTGATGAACCCATTCATCATGAATCAGTTGCTGCGTTTCCATTGCAAATGTGCGTAAAACTTTGTCGATACTCTGTTAATGTCAAAAAAACACAGTTTCGCAACTGCGGTGTTTCCATTAAGTAAGAAATGCTATTAAAGTCATGCGTAAATACGTTTGTTCTCGTGATAAGTCATTACAAACATGGTGGTGATGAATGTAAACACATAGCATGTTGCTACCACAACACCAGCGCTCATTATCAGAGGAGACGTCGGCATCTTTTATCGAGGCTTTCCAGCGACAATCCCCTACTAGGGAGCGCCTACGTATGCTGCGTTTTTGGGAAATTGTAGTCGTTGAGTTTACTATTTTATACTACTTCTGTGATATTACTACTATTTCTACTTCCTGTTATCTTCTTCGTCATCGTCTTTTTCGCCAGTAGAAACAGCTGGTTGTTGATCACGTGACTCCCATGATGCAAAAAAAGTTTTTCCATTGCAGTTTAGCGACAAACACCAATTTTGATACAGCCGAAATACCACCTCATCCTAGCGCAAAAACATTTTGTTGAACAACGTAATTTTTTTCGAAATTGACGTGTTTCCATTGAGCGAATTTATTTTCGAAATTCTAATTTGCGCATTTTCATGGTCAATGGAAACGCAGCTACTGTTGAATTGTAGAAAATGCTTCAGCCAAGTAACTCTTATTACAAAGAACAGGATTTATTACTTTATCGTCAACAAAAGGTATTCAAAAGCATACTTCAATCATCCTCAGTCTGGCCAAAGTTTTTGGTTTTATCACAATAAATCTTTGATAATCAGGTCATGAACCACTGTGTCACCTTAGATGAATATCATTTTGCATCTCTCTCGTTACTCTACAGTTTAACTAGTATAGCACAAGGTCATTCACCCATTCAGACGCACATTCACACACTGATGGTGAAAAGTTACATTGTAGCCACAGCTGCCCTGAGGCTGCCATTCACCGGCACCACTGGGCGCTCTAACCACCACCAACAGGCAAAGTGGGTGAAGTGCCTTGCCCAAGGACACGACTGAGACTGAGTGGGACTTCGAACCAGCAACCCATCGGTTACAGATGATCGAGGCAGATGGCCGCCTGTCCTGAGCCTGGTTCTGCTGGAGGTTTCTTCCTGATTAGCAGGTAGTTTTTCCTCTCCGTTTGCTCAGGATGGGAGACTGTGATGAAGTGATTCAACACAATCTGCTGGTTTCTTCTTTAGATTGTTCTTTTTTATGTACAGTGCCCTGAGACAACGTATGTTGTGACTTGGCGCTATATAAATAAACTGAATTGAACTGAATTGAACTGACTTGAGATGACTCCTTAACCTCTCTGTCACAGCTACCCCTAGTATTATCTATGGTACTTATCTGGTACTAATGTATTATTCTAATCTTTTTAACGGTTACTTAAGAGATGTGCAAATGTTTATATTGTTTTGAATAAACTGGTTCAGATTTCCCTTTGTAGGACTTGTAACAGTGTGAACCCATGTATTATTGTAATCACCTACCAACTGGCTTTGATGGAATGGCCAAACATGCCTCAGGAGACTTCCCCATAGAATTGACAGCTGTAACACAAACTTTTGCAAACTTTTTGTCAGCCAGGGAAATCCTTTTGAGATAATGTTTTCCTCTCTGATTTGCGTTGACTAGGAAATGCTCTTCCTCCCAACTTCCACCCTTTTTCTCTTTCAAATTAAATGCTTTGATTTTCCCATTGGCAAATTCAGGATCCTTGGAGAGAACAGAGAAATAATGTATACTCCAATTAAATCAAGAGGTGCAAAACAGTGCATAAAAAAACAACAGACTGCTGTTAGAAATACTAGACACATTAGAACAATGTTAAATGTGACATTTGATAATGAGGGAGTGGTGGCTCAGAGGTTAGAAGAGGTGAGCCTGAGATCGGAAGGTCACTGGCTCAACTCCCCGGACTGACTGGCCCCACTCTGTGCTCTTAAGCAAGGCCCTTAATCCCTCAGCTCCCTGGGTGCCTCCAAAATGGCAGCCCACTGCTTCACATGTGTGTTCACATGTGCAATTGGTAAAATGCAGAGAATTAATTTCCCCACCAATGTTCTGCAATCGGTAGGCTTAAACAGTTTTGATTCTGCACTTTCTAACTTGGCCTGCTGTGTTAGTGTTAGAGTGAATTATTAAAAACACAAAAACAAGGAAGTCTGTTTTGACCGCTTGGTAACAAGTACAGAAAGTAGCTTATTTCAGTGTATTTCTTGTTAGTTTGATTTACTTTACCAGAATGTATTATTGTGTCATACTGAAAAATAAGAATTGATACCAAAAACAGGTAGTGTACTCACAAAAGCTCATTTATGTTAAATTAAACAAGTAGGATGTTCTGACTGTAGTTGTCTAGTTTCAATAATTAAGTTGAAAAATGTATATTCTAATCAGTGGCATGTCTTGAAAGACAAACCATTTGCAGTTGTTTCATTATCACTTTTTGTTTAAAATGATTAATTTTACATGTTTTATTTAACTGCTGTGAAAAATTAAGATTAACCTTCAGGGTGGATAGAGCTCACAGCCTCACCCATTATTAAACATCATCATTTACCCAGTACGCTATGCGGCATTAATAAAATTTTGCTGTTTGTGTGACGCTATTTTTTTTCAATTTATAAAATTAAACAGCTTACAGCATTTTTAAAGTACTTTCACAGTTGAAGTAAATGTTTGTCAAATATAATGTCTAATGTTACAACAAGTAAGGGTGCCTTTGTCAAAAGGTTTTTATGTTCAAGGGAATGTGATGTAAAAAAAACTTACTTTACAAATGATTTGAATGAGTGGCATTCCATTAATGTCACTTTCAGCAGCTTTCCACAAATCCGGTTTACTTGACGGTTCTGAATCATACAGAAAAAAATATGTTTTAACAAAAGAAAGAACAGGAAGTCCTCACAGCATGTCTGACATATTAACATCTCTGTACTGAAGTGGATGAAATGTACTTAATTGCAGGATCACCAAGTTGTTGTTTTTTTAATCTATTCTGACTTTTTAAAGTTAGAATGTGGCTGTGTAATATCAGCACTGACCAGAACACACATACTGTATGTCAGTGAGTAAAAAAATGTAGGGATTTAAAAAAAATTTAAACAGAAGTTTGACCACTTAACTTGTAAAACATTTCATGTACTGCATCAGCTGGCAGGGTGCTGGGATATAACAAGCAGCAAGTAAACATTTTGACCTTGAAAATCACTCAAGTCAAAACTAAAAATTTGTTTTGACTTGATTTTCACAATCATCATGTGACAATTCGCTGACATAGCAGGGTTCACTAATGCACAAAGGGAGTACACCGAGTACATCCGGAGAAAAAGCTGAGCTGTTTCATCTAGCATCACTACTGTAGCTCAAAGTGTGAATGTGCAGATTACAAAGAAAAATGTGTTAAAACACAGCCTGTTGTGTACGACTGAGTAACCACAGAACTGTCAGGGTACTCATGCTGACAAGTTACGTTAACATAGACATCACATCTCTAAATATTGTTGCTAACCAAAAGTACTGTTTCATTTAAAAGGTTTTCCTTAATGGGCTCTTTCTGCCAGATGATGCAGATGTGCAACATCTGTGATTTCACATGTATTAGAAATGTAAAATAAATTAACATAACACGATCATGATAAACAGATTTAAATACAAAAATCAGTCTATTTTGAGCATAAATGATCTAAGATTCACTCTGTGTTAACCTGAACTGACAAACATTATACTCACGAGCCTCTGGAGTTCTTGCAGTTTTATTCAAGCTCCAATTGCTCCAGAAGCCACAGTCATTTATATTTTTGCTGGATATCTGAATGACATAAACTGTGTCTGGCTGAAGATTCTGCAGTCTGAAGGGATTTGATGGTTTCACTGTATCGTTACGATCCACCTGTAAAACACAAATCACAGCTTTGTGATCCTGACCAAAAAACACTCATAAAATACCAAACTAAAAGAGGAGAATAATAGCAATCAAATGCATGATTTACTGGAATCTTTGAATTTACCAAGAATAACAGAAGATCAAAGTTGTATATTGACAAGGGAGATTACAGAAGAAATAAACTCAGAAATTTCACATTTGAAAGCCAATAAGGCTCTGGGCCCAGATGGATACACTTCCGAATTTTATAAAATGATGAGAAAACCCTTGATCCCTTTGTTAAAAAATACATTCTTTAATAAAATACATTCTTTAATACCCAATACAAATTGGGTATTAAAAGGGGGAGAAACGCCAAGGATCTGGAGGGAGGCGTTCATTGCAGTTATCCCGAAGGATGGAAAGGATCAACTAGATTGAGCCAATTATAGACCAGTTAGTGTACTAAATTTAGACTATAGAATACTTACAGCAGTTATGGCTAGATGTCTAGAGGTAATTCTGCTGGACATCATTGATTTGGACTAGGGGTGCACGATAGTTATCGGCCCGATATCAGGGAATTATGACATCATACTTATCGGTCCGATATCATCACAAACAGAACCGATAATATATGTTCATATTTGCCAGCACGGCGATGAGAATGTGTGTTTATTTTTATCCGTTTTGGTGTTCTGCCACTAGAAATAAGTTCTGGACTTTTTCCGCTCTCCTTGCCTCCTGTTTTGCAACAGGCTCTGCTGGTGGAAAAAAATTAATAAAAATAATAAAATAAAAGTCCGTCAGCTTGCAGCTCCAGGAGTAGCAAAACTAACCAAACAATCCGCCTCTAAATTATTTGGTGAATTAATTATCTGCTGTGCGCAACGTTCGCTTGATCTTTAGTAAATAAAGCAAAGCCATTTTCTTTATTTTATCTTTATTTCACCTGTCATTAAGACAGAGAGGTGTTCCTCCCTCTTCAGACGCGCTTCAGTGCGTCCAAGGCGTTGGGCGCATTTTTGCTGCTCAAAACGCGGTCGGTGGGAACCCGGTGTACCGGGTACTACTTCACGGATTTCATCTATCACGGGTTGTTTTTGGAACGCAACCCCCGCAAAAAATGAGGGATCACTGTACTAATATATGGCAATATCATTAAAAATTTTGCAAATTAAAAAAAGAAAAAAATACCAAACTAAAAAAAGAACAACTAAAGGAGCATAAAAATACAAGCTAAATAGCCAAGTTAAAATGTTGTTTGAGTATTTGTTAAACAGTAAATACAGCAAAAAAATAAAAATAGAGGTAGAAAAGCAGATGAAATACATAACTCTTAGTAATATGCATGTCATTGAACATAAAACTGTTTCCTGGCACAGCAATCTACAGCTATTTCTTGTTGTTTCTTGTTCTTGTATTTCTAAATTCAGAATAATCTTAAAAAGTCTCAAAACTTTGGTCAGATCGTGCTTAGGCACATCCAAACAGTGGCAATGTGTGGTCCTGAGAACCAAATAAACAATACAGCCACCATTTAAAATCTGTAGGTACATATAGTACTTATATTCACAGTTTTTTACCAAATTAAAATAACGTTTTTTTATTTTCTTGCACAACGTAAGTAAAACTGTATAACAGTCTTATGGGTCTACTTGTGGAACATTGTGGATAATAAAATAAATCAATGTATTTCATCTAAAAATAAATGTTTTAAGTTAAATTCAATCTAAAAATGATACATCTGAGATAATAAACTTTGTCTTAATATTTGATGAAAGTTTCTTTATATATGGTGAACTGGTTTCAATTGTGATTTAGTTATGATAGTAGTTTAAACAGTTCAAAGACCTTAAACATACTTACATCGCTCCAAGTTTGAGATCCATTTGGGCAGAATCTAATTCGATATTTCAGTTCCATACATTCCTTAGCAATAGGAGTCGTCCAGCTCACAAGTAGCGTTGTAGAAAAATTAGTGTCTGAAAAGGCTTGCACAGCCAATGGAGGGTTGGTTTTCACTGCAGCAACAAATCAAACCAGTTAATGTTTCTGTTGTCTGGAGTCACTTCTAAACACCAACGTTTTTGTGAATGGACCCTGTAAATCAGATTAAACAAAATAACATGCACTATGATAGTCCTTTTTCTAGAGTTCAAAACTTTAACTTACCAAAGCAGTTGGCATCATTTATCAGATGTTCAGATTCTACATTTCCCAGTAGATTATGAGCCACCACCCAGATCTCCAGAGGCATAAAATGGGGGTAAGTTTTCACAGGCACGACGACATTGTTGTCATGTGTTGATACATTGATTGTCTCACCCCTGTGGAAAATAAATGTTCATGTACCTGTAAGTTAGAATCTTTGTTATAAGGAGAGTGGTGATGCAGCGGTAAGAGAAGGAAAGCCTGTGATCGGGAGGTCAAAGGTTCAATTACGCAGACTGGCACAAATAATTTGGGTAATCACTGTTCAATGTGGGCCGGGCTCCTGAAGAAGGCCCTTCCAGATCTATAGTCTATGCAGAGCACATTATTTTAATGCCAACTTTGGCTCACTTTGTACCCACTTTAAGAAACCCCCTTCAGTTTATGATTAAATCTAGTGGAGTCTAAAGTATAAAGTATACTCGATCTGAAGTTGAACAGTCAATACGCAGTCGTGTAGGAATGGGTATCGTTAATATTTTATCGATACTACTACTCTTATCGATACTGCTTATTTATCTGGTATTTTAACGGTGCTCTTATCAACGCTTTTCTGTGGGGTTAAAACCATAAAACATGTCAAATCTTTTCATAACAGTCTAAATGTGACAAATCAGATGTTTTCATCCGATTTGTCCGTGTGTAGACTTGTCATGCACTGGGTCATGCTAGGTACTCCTTTACCATTAACAATACCATTAGGCTGGAGATTATCAATCCGGTCAAAATTAATCATGTGGCACCGGAGCTGAAAAAGGCCTTTGTTTTGGTACCATCCCATTTTCACACACACCTTTCAAAGTCCAAGACACATACTTTCAGCGTAAACACATACACCCAAGACTCCGAGCTAAAAAATGAATTATGCGAGTTTCATTGAAGTTCTGATGGAGTATGTGGCGGTCTTAAATTGGAAATCAAAGTCATGAGTGCTTTGTTTTTAATGTTCAACCAAAATGGCTATAACTCCCATTTCTAAACAGCATGATCTCAGTCTAAAATATTTACATGAAAGATACTGTATGATATGCATTTCTTCAATAGGTTGGGGTCAAAGCTGTGATGATCTAAGATGAAATATATGATGATGAAATTTATATATATTTAGAAGTACTCACGACAATCTTTCTTTAACTATTGCTGTATATGTTGTTTGGACGTATGTGGTTTGTCGTCCAACTGCTTCCCATTCACAAGTGATTGTTCGCAAGGTGGATGTGCCATCCTGTTGAGCTACACAGGTCAGATTCTTTGGTCTCGCTGGAAGATCTGACAATGGGGCACACAGAAACATTTTATTAGGGGTGTGATAGTATATGCATTTGTACCGAACCAACACAGTACAGACATCTCAGAACAAATACACAGAGTTCATTGTTGGTTTCTGGGAGACAGAAACATCCAGGAAATATCTCATTTTTCCAGCCACAACAATTGTGTCTGACACTTTTAACAGAAAATATATTTATTAAGGGGAAGGCATAAAACAAGAAATACTGTAGCTGTGTTCATTCATAAAACCTTTAAAGTTCTGAGATTTACACTCCTTTAGCTGATGGTCCTGCACATTTATCCCACAATCAGAAAAAAGGCAGTTTAGGAAGAGAACTGCACTAAAATTCAAAAATAAAAAAACAAATTCATTTAGAGAGATTAAAACAAACAGTGTGATGCAGTGTTCTTTGGGTATCTAAAAACAAGCAGTTTGTGGTCAAAGCTAGGGATGTCCCGATCAGATACTCAGCAGATATGGCCATTTTTTAAAAATCGGGTAGAATCAGATTTAGTCATGTGATCGGGCCGATCCAGTTTTCCTGACAGTTTTCAGCATCATCATGCTTTACAACTGCCATTAAGAAGTCAAGACGCACACAAGTATGCAACCATGTCCACAGTGTGGGAACAATTTTCAATGGAAAACAATGATGCTGAAACTGCATCTTGTAATTTCTGCAAACTGGATTTTTCTCGTGGTGGGAACAGCAGGGCTCACTTTAATACTACCAACCTTGTTACTCGGAAAGAAATAAAGCTATCGGATCGGTATCATATCGGTATCGAAAAGACTAATCATTAAAAAAATTGGATTGTATCAGGAGCCAAAAAATCTGGATCGGGACTTCCTTAGTCAAAGCACACAGAACCTTTACCAACAACCATCTTACAAAATATAAAGGACTCTCTGCGTGTCACACACCTTACACATATACCCCAGTGATTTAATGCATAAAAGTGTGTGACACACAAAAACTACTGTACATTTGTGAGTGAGGTGTATTTGTTCACCTACACACAACCTGCTCAGAGGAAAGCTGTGCATAGCAAATTGTGACTCAGGTGTAGTTACATCCCTTCATCTAAAATGGGCTGAGCTGCCTTAGGTCATATATAAAAATAAGGCAAACTTACTACTTAACATACCTGAAATAATAAACAAAAACAATTACTATTAAAGTCTGAGTATTAGAGGTGGGCGATATACTGTATATCGCAGACAATATTATCATCCATGTTACTTTGAAGATATGCAATTTTTACATTGAGTATTCATACTGTCTCAAAAAGACAACAAATGTGGTGGTGAAGACAGAGGCATAAGTCCCCATTCACAGAATACATGCCACAGAAACCAATCAATGGGAAGAATTCAGTCATGTGATTGGGGTCTCTGTCAACCAGAGATGGGGACTCGTGACCCAGACCTGGACTTGAGTCGCACTTAAGTCCCTATGTTAGAGACTTAGACTTGACTTGGACCCTAAAGACTTGAGACTTGTGGTTTGAGACTCGCGAATGCAAGTTTTTTCACTGTCCGACTCACGATTCTCATTCCCTCTATAAACATCCATGCTCCGCTCCTTTGAGAACAAATGCATAAAGTTTTAAGAGCAAAGACATTTACTCCTGCTCTCAAATTGAAAATATACGCTCTTGGTTAAAGTCAGAATAATTCTTCCATATGCTCCACTCCCCTTCACCTGAGAATGGGAGGGGCCAGTGTCGTCTAATGTTAATGACGTATACCCTACATGATAAACAGAGCTTCAGCATGGCAGGTGTGTTGCAGTAGGCCACTCTGCTGTCATTCATTTTAAGCTTTGCTTAGAGAGACTTTATTCAACACCATGACAAGACACTGGCAAAATGCAAAGTGTGAAGAGTCCAAAACCAAAATTTGTTTTTATGATGACTTGTGCAGCCCTTTTACTTTAAGGATTCTGGTTCATCATCTTCACTGACATGCTTTTATGCATTTAAAAATAAAATTCTGGTATTTTATTGTAAAATCAGCAACAGACTAGTTGGATTTGTTCTTTGTCAATGACAAGATATAATTACAGTTTGCTTTTGTAAGACTACAAGTGCAAAATAGTTAACAATACTCTAAATGTTTGATTGTTGTTTCAACCTTAACCTTATCTGTATTTTTAAAACAATATTATGTTTTAATAGTATTATTAAAAATACTATGTTTTAATATTTGATTAAAATGAAATATTATAGAATATAATCTAGTATAGTTAGAATACATTTGATCAAACTGCCAGTTAAGTGATACATGCAACTAGACATGGACTTGAGGTCAAGAGACTTGAGACTTGACTTGGATTTTTGATCAAAGACTTGAGACTTGACTTGGACTTGCAAAAAAAGACTTACTTGTGCACATCTCTGGTGGCAACTGAACTAAACAGGGGGCAGGATTCAGTCTTGGACTTGCAGCAGCCAAAACCACATGGTTTAAAGTTCTCCATCATCACAGCGGATTTTCTTAACTTTGAATGTGGCCAGGATGATTTCCATCATCTGTAGGGGGGTGGTCTCTGGTTGTTTTCTGTTGCAGTCTTGTTAAAGCTGCCCAGTCTGCTCCAAACTGGATGCTACTTTCAACAAACCAAACAAAGTCCAGAGCACTTTTATCCAGTGACAGGCAGGTCAGCAGGAGCAGCAGTCCTCCTGAGTGAGTAAACCTCTCCTCTCCTCCCTCACTTCACTCCTGGAACTTTGGTCTCTAAAACCTAACTTTATGTTAAATATGTGTGCTCAGAGCACCATTATCCAACAGATATGTCCAACTTTGCAGATGTGGCCAAACTCCTCGTGCAAAGGTGCAACATGCAGTTGGTTGGTCATGCTTTTGCTCTCCTTCCTATTCTACAACATTTCACAATTTATAAAGTATTCTGCCACATGGAGAAAACTACCATAACGAAGACTGAAGAAATCTCTCGGAGGAGAGACAAAATGTTTCATTAAAGAAGAACCCATCAAGAGGACTTACTTATTTTTCTTTTTGATTTTTCTACTAGGATTACTGAGATGCATTGATACACATCGACAGATTATCAATATAGGCAAATAAGAAAAATTATCAAGTTTTTTTTGGTCTATATCACCCAGCCAATGTTGAAAAGAAAATGAGTTGACAAAACTTACACCCTGTTTTGAGCCAAATCCCATGATAGAATCTGCTTTTGTTCAGGGAGACGTAGGGAGACGACTTGTTGCTGAAACAAAATAACCACGAAGGATTTTCACTTGTGATGGGGACGGTGACACTCAGTGTTGATGAGTCGATCTTAGTATAATATTCTTTGGAAACAAGAGTCTTTGATAAAATCCAGAAGAGATCATCTGCAGTGACTTCAGTGGTGTTAACGATCCCACATGTAGCAGTGAAGTTGGTTCCAATCTCAAGCACTGGAGACTGTGGAGATACCACCAAATGGTTGATATTTTCTGATTTAGAAGAGGAGAGAGAAGAAGAAGGGTGATTTATTTATTATCTCATTATGCAGAAAGCTACAGACACTGCGTTATGATAAGGATGTTGTTATTAGCACCATGCAGTTTCCATGGTGAACTTACAAAGAGCCAAAGCAATATTAACCAACATGAGGGTCATCATTTATACTGATGAAAGTTTTAGACTCTTGTTGTAATTTTGACAGAAAATTTAATTTTAGCACGATCTCCCGTTGGGAGAATAAACCCTATCAGTTGTGTTCTATGACAGTGCTTCCCACGCCTGACCCTCAAAGCCCACTAACCTGCACGTTTTAGACACTGCCCTGCTTTGACATGCCTGATTTCTATGATTGATCAACAGGCTTCTAAAGAATCTAAAGATGTGCTGAAGAGTAGAGTAACAACTAAAACATGCTGAATATTGTATGTCTTTGTAAAGGTTAGTTCACAGAAATAAAATCAGTATGGGCAGGTAAGAGCAAAAACTAGAAATTGGTACCAGCCAAAAAAATAATAATAATAATTTAAAAAAAAAAAACAGAATCAGTGCATCTCTAGTTATTACAACATTGAGAACCAATGCAAAAAAAATTTCAGTGGTATCAGTGATGATAAAGAGAAGTTGACTAATTTTTTACAAACTCATCGTTGCAGGCTCAAAGCACAGTGAGGTAACACATTTAAAGTAGTAAAAAATAAATAAATAAAGTAGCACTGTCTAACGCTTAACAGCATTATATTGGCATTTTAAATCTATTTAGCTTTCATTTTCAATCTTTTTTTTTTAGATGTTTCGGGGAAGAAGCTGAATTAATTGATTATGCAAGGTTACAGAAACAACAAGCCAACACTTGAACGTCGAATGCCAGGATTCAGATCACACACCCAGAATTAAGTTGTTAAACAAGTTAAAAGTCTAGACGCTGATAACTCAAAAGATTTATGCTCACACACATTTAGATAGAGACAGTTAATGTAAAGTGTGCCAGAGTTTTCATCAATTCAGCCGTAAAAATACAAACATCAGAATACAGTGTTTGAAAAGCTTTGTATAAAGAGCACGATATATGAGGCGAGCATCCTCCTTTCGGGTTTACTTCATTAAATAAGTAGTAAGTAAACAAATAATTCTAAAAACATCTTACTTGTGACGAGAACCTCAGATAGATTATTTCTGAGGAACTTGGCTGTTTATCCATTGAGAAAAACTAATCAACATAAAGTTTTAGACACGTTTAAAAACGAACTGAAATATCAAAGAACTTGACTCCAAGTATACATATGACCAATTTTACTATTTTTTTTAAAAAGTGCAACTACTGTGTTCCAATCAGGCCTGTCGCGATAGTCAATAAATCAATTAATTGCGCAATCAATTTTTTTGAGGTCGGTAAAAAAAAAAATGGAGGACGATAAGTTTCATTTTCCCACTTGTTTGTTTACTTCCTCTCTCTCCCTCTCTGCTCCGCTACACAGGAGCTCAGGTGACTCCTCCCCTCCTGTTTTCTTAGAGTCGGGAGGAGTGAACTCTCGCTTTAGCATGAGAGCTCGTAGCAATAACAAACTAAAGAAACGTTTCAAAGCAGAACGCGGCTGCTGCAGTGTCGGAGCACTAGAGCCTGGATTTCGCTGCGGGGAGACACAGAGAGAGGAGAAGAAGGGGTGGGGGCTGAAACTCCCCCAGACCCGGACAAACTGGTCAAGACTTTACCTGTAGCTCCCAAAAATAACAGGAAACTTAAACGCACCATCTGTGTTTTAACAAAACACCAAAAAAAACCTGTAGCTGTCCCAACAACTCATGAGGAAAACTCTGAACTGTCTGATTTCCTCCCACAGCGCTCTGCTTGTCTCCTCTGACTGTCCCCTCCTCACACACACACACACACACACAGAGACACGTTTGTTCTTCTATCCTCATGGGGACTTTGCATTGACTTTCATTCATTTACCAGTATTTTCTATTACCATTTGACCCTAAACCTAGCCTAAACTTTACATGGGATGTGAACTGGGCTTATGTCCCCATAAGAAACAGTGGGTCCTCACCAGGCTGTGTAGTTTGCTTCATCTCTAAAGAGATGCTGCTCTTTAATATTGTTTATTTACTGTCTTAGTTGTGTGTGGTGTTTAATTTACATTTTGTTGTTCATTGTTTTGTTTTTTTTATTCAAGTGCATTTTTGTTAGAAACAGAGTCCACTTTGTTAAACATTCTTTTAAAAATGAAAGTTTATTGATTTATTACACTTACATATTAAGCTTTTATAATTATTAGTTGTAAAATGGTCACCAGGCAATAGTATCGCTTATCGCAATAATTTGTGAGACAATTAATCGCCCAGCAAAATTTGTTATCGTGACAGGCCTAGTTCCAATAATGCCTTTACCATAGCTTTTAAAACAAGTTTAAAATCATTTAGTAAAATATAGCTGAATTTCTTCAGACTTGTTCCGAAATGTAAACTAGAAAAATATTTTTTCCAAGGTGTCGTACCAAGGAAATAGGAAACCAAACTAAGAACAGTGAACACACAGGCTCTATGTAACGCACAGAAATATAAACGTGTTAGCTACAATCCAGGGGTGGATTTGTACAAGGAATTATACCAAGGCAATGGTCTATAAATAGACCGTGATGGCTAGTTAACCCAAAAGTACAGAGTGCTCTGGTAAATTAGGGATTTATGTCCTGTTGGGCATCTTGGAGCTCTATGATGAACGACCTCCAAGATCTCTTGAGAACTAACAGCAGTTTATATAAGTAATGTCACCAGAGTCAAAGTGAGGTAAGTAAGAAGCAACAAGCAGTTCTATAACAGTACATTTCTATAAATAACCCTCAGATTTAAATTAGGCTATTTTTTATGTTCAAAGACCGACTTAACAGAAAAGTTCTTCTCAACTAAAATGTGAAGGTCATGAGGCCATGAAGGAGCCTTGTATGCCTGCATTAATTTTGAATCAAACCAAGATTGTGATTTCAGCAGTTTTAGGTGGCAAAAAATATTTCTGGATACGAGTTTTTCAACCGTCTTTCTCACGACCCACTGTCCTGCATATTTTTGAGGTTTCCCTGCTTCAATACACCTGACAAATGAAGGAGTGATTGACAGACTTCTGCTAAACTTGATGGCATTCTGTGTAGGTGATTTAATTATTTGAATCAGGTGTGCCGGAGCAGGAAAACACCTAAAACTTGAAAGACATCGGGTCGCAGGGAACAGGGTTGAAGCTGATCTAGATAAAATAATTAAAATAATTCAAAATGTAGTTTTGTTCAGAAAAAAAATCTGGTATTACAAGTTGAAAAGACAAACTAATTTTTTAAGCTGAACTATAGAATAAGGCTAAAAAGTAAAGTGACCAAAAAAAGTGTTTTAACTAAAATATGATCTTGGCTCAAAATGCAAACTTTAGTGTTTAGAGTTTAGTATTTTCTTTGGTAATTTGTCAAAAAATATACCATGACTTTCTATTTTGAGAGAGCTCTGACCACCACACACACCAAAAAGCTACCAATTTGATTTATCAGCATGTTTTTCCCCACACACACACAAAACATGGCAGTTACAAACTCAAGGCATGCGAGTGAATTACAACTTATAGTTATTTAATAAAAGATAACGGATTTATATTACTCAATGCACTGAAAAAATCTCGGGACCCTCGTAAAATAACATTTGCTAAAACAAGTTTCATGACAAATCTTTAAAAACATGCAAAGAGTTTTACAAATTTTTGTGAGGATGACAGCATTTCACATTGTTCAATGGAAATTCAGGATATTATTTATCCCCAGAATTTAGAAATTGAAAATGCTGTAACTTTACAATTTTTAAAAGTCAGGTACATCATATTAATTTCATTAGAAAATATTTATTTAATAACTAATCTTATTTATCCAAGCTGAATGCAGCCTTTCTAAGTGTTAACCTTTAAATGTTAGATGTGAATGTTAAACACAGTGATATACAGCGTGTACAGCAAAACATTTGATGGCTGCTTGTCCACTTGGTCAACACTGCAGCTTGTTGACTGAAACATCATTTCAGCAGAAAAGATACTGACCGTATCCAGCTCGGAGCACCGAGGTGACGCAGGCGAACACAGCTAGCTTTAAAACCATCTCATACATCCTGACGACGACTGCGCGAAAACAGAAAGAAAGAAAACTTCAAAAAGGCATACAAAAAAACAGACACAGTTCTCACGATAAAATTAGCCTGTTAGCATAGCGAGCTAATACCGCCACTGTTGTCGATTAGTTTTTTCCACATTAGTGTAAATAGATTGCAACTTACCTTATTTGGGAGGAGGAAAAACATTAAGATTAAGTTAGGAAGGAGTCAAAACCGTCTGACTCGTGTATGTTCTAGTTATTCTGGTTTAGAACCACCCCGTTCCCGTTAACAAAAAACCTGTGTCGCAGTAATGTTGCTGAGCGGCGGGTTTTGATACGATTACAAACCATGTGCATGGGTCTAAGTTGTCTCAGGCTGAACGACTGCCTTACAGCCGAGAGCTTAGGTATCTACAAAAAGGCTCAACCTACAAAACACTGCTACGTAATTGGATAGAATATCGGTCCGTCAAAGGCCTATAACCAATTGGAGAACTGTATTGTTTTACGTGCGCTGTTGATGCTCTTCACCGTGAATTTCCCGTATGTCTCCGCCTCCCAAGTTCCAGTAAAGCAATGCCAACAAATTTTAGCCACCAGCTTTTTATACAAATGCAAAAGAAGCTGGCAAGACTGAGATTGCTAAACTGTGAAAAAATAAACATGTAATTTAGGTGTAAGCTTACAGTTATTTTACAAGAAATGTACAACAAAGAGGAAAATAGCCATGTTTGTGATGTGGCCTGTTTGTTTATATTCCTGAGTGTTAAGCCACTTTTTAAAATTACCTTGATGGAAGTTTGAGTTTGTAAATGTAAAATAACAGAAAGTAAATTAAGAAGAAATAGCAAAAGTGTTTTGACTTATTATAAACCTGCCTGTTCATAGGTTATTGACAAAATCTAATATTCTGCTGCATGAAAGTGTGCTTTCACCAGCCTTATGTGGCCAGAAGGTCAACAGCTGATAACTACTCTACATCATCCTGGCAGCTTGGTTATAGTATTCTTGTACAAGCTGTTTTATGCACAGCCTCCCACCACCACCAAAGGAAAAAAAAAAAACATGTTGCGTGTGGTGTGGTTCACCACAGTCTCTAAGATAAGCATCCTTGTATTTTACATCAGTCAGCTTTCTGTAGCTTCTGGTATTTCTCAACATAAGCTACTTCCTCAAATTATAATGTCCAAAGACCTACAGTATCCTTTCACTCAGTGGGGTTCTGTTGTCTGAGATATAGCATTACACCGAGGGCCTGCTGTAGCATCTCCAGCTGTGCTAACAGATTCTGCTTGTGAATAGTGGAAGTTAGTCCAGCGGAGGGAAAGGGTAATACCTGTAAATAAACAAGACGGGACTTTTGAACTTTTGAGAAATTCTTTAATATTTTGTGCATAAAGCAAACACATGCCTGACAAAGAGCCTTTATTCATGACGTTGCAGGTTTTAGAAAAAGAAAGGCACAACACAAGGTAGTGCATTTAGATCCCTTGCAGTTGTGCTAACTGCACAACATGTGTGTGCTTGACAAAAAATAATCTATTACCAAATGTGAACATTGTTTTTGCAATTTAACATTCAGACTTATTTGAAAACGATGAATACACTACTTTTGCTCTTTTTCTCCATTTTATTGAGTGTCCATCATTTGAACTGATTCATGGACGACATCCACAGAGAGGGGGGTCTCAGTTTTGGTCAGGACGGCTGTGGTGCCAGGCTTATACCTGTACTGTCCCTCTCTAGAAGAAAGACAAACAAGTAGCAGCAAATAAATTCAAAATTGCTTTCATACATTTTACTAGACTTTTTACTTCTTACTGCAGCAGTCTGTTTTGTTTTAATGGTCTGAATTCACGTTATTTTATGAGATTTGTATTTACAGTTTTAAAAGCAGAACATCCACATTTAAAGTCTACGGTTTTAACAAGTTATAAAAAACATGATCAGATATTTAACAGGTTTTTAAATTATTCAAATATAATTTGAAGTGAGCAAAAACAGATTCCACCATGACATGATTTATTAAACACAAGTAAAGTCAAAATTGGGAAGATGAGGTACTTATTTCCAAACAATCTGATGTACATCATTCTACAGAGAAGAATATGAACAACTGGAAACATGTGACCAATTTAAATAATCCCAAGACTGGACAACCCAGTAGTTCATGACAGCATAACTAGAAAAAAACAGAATAAGTGTTGATTTTTCTTTTGGGAAGGACAGTCAGGAGACATCATCTTTCCCTCTAACAGGAACATCGCTTCCAATTGTGTTTAATAAAAAAGTTGAATTTGTTGTGTGTTTTTGTATACAGGTATTTGAAGTGTTGTAGAACCTGGTAAAGGCCAGATCATTTTTTTATCATATCTAATAAAATCCTGAAATTGAAGGGGGATGCTTCTTTTTTCCACGACTGTTTTTTTTTAAGAAGCACAATCTAAAGATTAATCACAGATTAATCACAAATTAATTGTAAATTGTAACCGGTTTTGACCACACTCACCTTTTTCCTTTTTGTGTGGGCTTGTCATAACCTCGCAAGAATTGAACTCCGGCCTCAGTGATGACGCACAGATCCACATTACTGCCTGAACCCAGATCGCAGAATATCCCTGCAGCAATTGCATCTCCTACAAGCTGCTTTGCATCCTCCAGCTTAAAGATAGAGAAAAGGAAAATGTAGTTTTTTTTTACTTTTTTCAACCAGACACAAAAGAAAAGAGAACACAGGCTTAAGTTCTAGTATTGTTCATAGACTAACAGAAAACTTTAGTGGTCATGTTGCCTTTATATTGCAAAAACATTCCTCATCTTGTGCTTTGTTTCCTCCGGCCCAACAGGGGGCACCAGTTCTTATAGTAGAGCTAAGATAGTGTATCTGACAAAAGCATCAAAGTAACATGGTTGTGTTTGAGCATATTTACATACTGTGTCCACTGATCCATTGCACTGATCTGGCCAGTAACTCGCTGGTGGAGATACAGGGTGTCAAAAGTCACAGGACCCCCTTTTATTTCAAAAGAAAAGGGAAATTACATATCTGATTACCCCAGCAAGCTATGGGTGGGGGCTGGGGGCTGTCTTTGGAAAGACTTGCTCTTGATATAATATGGCAGCCATGTTCTGGACATATTCTAAAACAGGGCTATTCAACTAAATTTCTCAGGGGTCAGTTAGTGCAGGCCAACACCTGAGGGGCCTAACATCCAGCAATTAAAGTCATTATATAAATAAACCAAGTATTACAAAGATCTGTTACCTTTTAATTAGTTTACTTTGCTGCATTTAATCATGAATACAACATAGAGGAACCCTATGTAATAAAAGAAGGGATATTAAAACAACAACAAAAACAACTGACACAAATATTAGTTTGACATATTTAACTTGCCACATTTTTAAACCAATTTTATTTTTACTTATCTTAATTTTATATTCTACTCCTTGTAGTTTTAAGTGTCTTGGGTTTTCATTTAAATGGTTTTTACAAGCTTTTTGGGCAAGATTCTAACGTTTCTGTATACCACACATGTCTATGTTTAACTTAAAGAACTTATAGTTATTAAAGTAGAAAACCGATGGTTTGGGCTTAAGAATCAACGAACTTAATGAACCAATTGGTGGGCCGGATTTTGGTCACCAGTGGGCCTGACATGGCCCACAGGCCTCCAGTTGAATAGCCCTGGTCTAAAACACAAGTCCGCTCACACATTGCTTGAATATACATGTCGTTTTCCTCCTTTCTTTCTGAAATAAAAATGTGTCCTGTGACTTTTGACTCATGCTGTACAAGCACTCCATCCTGGTTCTCAGTCCACTCTAATACCGAACCCCTTGTTACAGATATTAGTCACAACATGATCACATCTGAGAGGGAAGGAGGTCATTTTTACCTCCATGTTTGGTTTGAATCTGTCCTCAAACACTGCCACAGCAGCAGCAGCCCCAGAACCTAAAACAGAAATAGAAATTTATAGTTTATGTTACTATTTCTTTGCTTGTTTGAGTTTCTATGATTTGTTAATGGACTTCTCCTGTTAAAGGGGGCTTATCTTGTATTTCTCCAGGCACATAGTTCAATTCTATACCAAAATCAATTATGTTACCTTCAGAGCTCAAGGGTGGAGTTTTATACAAACATATTAATTATATATTTTATTTATTAATAAATATATTAATTTATAATAATGTGCTTTGTACCAACCAGCAAGTGTTTACACATGGCTACCATAAGATAAAGAAGGATTTCTCAAACATGGATGAATAAGTCAAAGCAACACTGTGGGCATTTTTTGATGTGGAAATGACATTATAACGTGATATAAACCTCAAAAATGTTGATTTTGAATAATACACCCCTTTAATTCATTGTCACACGAAGGCAAACATTGTTTTGTGTCTGGATATTTGTCTGTTACCAAAATAATTTTTCTCATCAACTACTGGACATTTGAAACAAATGTGGATTTTTATTCTAGGAAGGACAAAAAATTATCCTCTGTGTAAATACTGTACGTTACAGTCCAATCAACCAGTCCAATGAACAGTTTTCTACTGATTTTGTCAGGGGTCGAGGTAAATGAACCCAGGAGCAGGCAGACACAAGGAGCTCAAAACAATAAAACTATTTATTAAACAAAAGCAAAGGCTGACGTGGCAGCAAAAGACATAAAGTCAGGGGACTCAGGAAGACACGGACCAAGACTGATGGATCATTTCATACAGTGAACCAGCAGTAAATGACAGAGAGGAACCAGAATATATACACAGACGGGAGGAGAAATGAACAACAGCTGATGGGGACTGATTACAAAACTACTGACAGATGAGTAGATTAACTAGGAAGGAACTGACTGAGGACAGAGATGAAAGTGTAACACACAGGGGAAACACCAGAGGAAGACAGAGCACAGGACACAAGACAACACATCCTGATTTTTTTAAGTGAAGTACGACGTTATTCACCAAGGGAACTGTAAAACTGTTTAGGAAAATAGGTCAGTGTAAAGCAAGTAATACGTATGCTTTGTACATATAGATTTTATTGATATTATAATGTATATTAAGCTATATAAATGTTATATTAAAACCATTTACAGGACATAATTTAGCACACTTTTATAATTAATGATAGAAAAAGTTCTTTCCAGTACATTTGAGCTCATTATTCTTTTAGCTCATGTACAAAGAGCTGACAGATTGTGCTTCTGGGACAGATCAGGCAGTAACAGCTGCTAACCCTTCCCTACAAACAAACTTGCAGTTTTGACCAGTTTACATAAAGTATATTATTTAACATTTAGCAAAAGGAAAAGAGAGCTAAATCAGTGTTTGTCAAAGTGGAGGCCCACCAGGGAGTACTAGGGGGGTCTCAGAGAGCGGGAGGGAAGATAAGAAAAAAAGGGGGAAAATAATTTAAATAAATGTTTTAAATCCTTATCATAAGATCAAATCTGTTTTTAATCAATCAGTATTTTAAAATATAATAATAAAATATGGAAATGTTATTCAAGTTTTATTACATTTTGTGCAGCATTGTTTGTGGGTTTGCAAGGGGGGTTGTCGGCCATGCTGTTTGGGGGGGGCATGATGACATGAAAAAGTTTAGGAACCCTTTAAATAAATGACAATAAAATGTAAGTGTAATTTGTAAACTGGGATGTTACACTCAGAAAGTGAGCTAAATAATGAAAATGTGTTCGTGACATTCTTTTAACATTTTATTTTATAGTTGGTGCCCTGTAGAAATGAGAAAAAAATCAAGACGCAATATCAATGAAACTTCAAAATGTCTTTCAGAAACCTCACTTCAGACACCTGCCCTGTCACAGCATACTGTAGATTTGCCTAAAGCAGAGGTTCTCAAACTGGGGTCCCAGGACCCCCAGGGGTCCACGAGAGAGAGCTTGGGGGTCCTCAAAAGATTTCACTAAATTGTTAATTTGGTTTTTATTTTAAAAAATGTGGAGAACAATGAACTAATAAAACAAACATAAAAAATAATAAAAAATATATATTCCCATGGTTGAAATGACAACAAATTATCTTTTAAAACAGCTTAGATTTATGAGTGGGTCCCTGGAATTGTTTCGCCCTTGTAAGGGGTCCCCAGACCCAAATAGCTTGAGAACCTAAAGGAAGTTAAACACTTACCCATGGTGAGGAAAGGCAGTTTATCGTAGGAGCCATGTGGATAGACACTGTACAGGTGAGCTCCGGTCACATCAACTCCTCCTACTATCACCGATGCGCCCATGTGGCCCTGGTACCTGAAATAAATACAGGCAGACAACTCTTTGCATCTTTATTTTTTTTTAATCGATGTTTAGCTTAAGTGTTAATTAAAAATAAAACAAAATGGTCACATTATCGCGACATATTTACCCTTTCCAGCATGGGTTCAACTCCCAAAGTTCACGACTAATAGAGCCAATTTTTTTGCAACAATCACAGCAGCACAGTTCTTTAAGTTCATCTCCACAAACTTGGTCCATCTAACAGTTTATTCTCGTCTGACCACAGCATGTTTCACAAGTCTGCAGTTTGCTTTTTGACAAATTCCAAATATTTATTTCATTATTATTATTTTTTGTGAACATGTATTTGAATGACTGCGTGTGAGGATCTTGACCCTTCTTGCTCAGTGAGAGGGAATACCGACGTTTGGGAAATAAAAAACACTATGCATCACTCGCAGACATCGATTGTTGGCGATTCATGTTCTTATGTTCTTAACTAAAAGAACAATCCAGCAATTAGCACATTGTAGAAAGAAAAACACTCATCGCAGCATTAAACTCTAATATGGAAAGCTAAACGAACTTGGTGAAAGCAGTATGGAAAGATGCAAGAAAACACAGGTTCAGAGGGCATATGTTAGCAAAAACTAAAACATGATAAAAACTTTACCTTAAGTCTAAGAAAGCACTTATTCCCCTTACCTGAACAGCATTTGTTTCAGCTGTCTGGTAACCATAGCCACAAGGGGTGGTCGGCCAGTATTGAGCGTATGGAGCTCCACGTTGGACGCCATCATCTGCGTGGCCATCTCCGCATCGGCAGCCACGCCGGCTCCACAGCAGCTGCAGGACACACAAAACATTGGTTTTAATGCTGGAATTAGATTATAAAACGTGGCCTATATTCATCACCCCCCCCCCCCTTTTGTAAATTTTTAATTTTTTTTTAATTTTTTGGGCTCCACGTTCTGTTTTGGGTCTTCTGGGCAAAATGGTCCAGAACAATCACCATTGATGTTGCCAAGCTCATTTTACAGGATATATCATGCATAAAGCAAACAATAATTCCAGCATGGAGATATCCATCATTCTTTAACGAAACCTAAAAGCTGATTTCATTGTACTCATTTTTTCATTTGACCCAACGGGCTTTCACAGGTGAATATACAAAAGTAATAAACAGGTTATTTACAAGGTACCTGCAGGGGTAACTACATGATACTTATTTGGGTATTTACATGGTCATTAAGAGGTACTCACTGGGCAATCACAAGATAGTTATCAGGGTACATGTAAGAGACCTACACAGTTTAGGATACTTATCTGGTAAATGAAGAGTATTTACAGGTAGTAATAGGGTTAAAATTATTCACGCCTTCATCACAACACGTTTGGACCACTGTAATTCATTGTACAAGGACACAGATCAGTCCTCATTACGTCGTCTCTGAGTGATTCAAAATGCTGCAGCCCAACTTTTAAATGGTACATGGAAACATGAGCATATAACACCTGTGCTGGCTACGTTTCACTGGTTACCTGTATCTTATAGAATTGATTTTAAGATTTTATTGTTAGTTTTTAAAGTTTTGACTGGGCTTGCTCCAACTTATCTACAAGATCTCCTTCATGTTCACTCTTCATCCAGAACATTGAGGTCGAACAACCAGATGCTTCTTGATGTTCCAAGATCCAGACTTAGGAGCAGAGGTGATCGTGCTTTTGCTGTATCTGCTCCCAATCTATGGAACAACTTGCCCATTCACATTAGATCTGTTCATAGCCTGGAACACTTCAAAATGCTGCTTAAGGCTCACTTTTACTCTAAGGCATTTAATTAATACTAGATCTGGCATTGTAACTTTTATCTGTTCTTATTGTTCATTGTAATTTTCTTTTTATGTATTTTAGTAATTTTTGTGTTGTTTATAGACTGCTGTGCAGCACTTTGGTGCAGCCATTGGATGTTTTTAAAGCGCTTTATAAATAAAGTTTGACATTGACATAGGGTACTTTGAGAGTACACAATGGGAACATGGTTATTATAATAAAGGTTATTCACAGTGTAATTACAAAGTAGTTACATGTGCTACAGGTTACGTACCTAGTATTAATGGTGGTACTTACATGATAAATTTAGTGCAGGAGATTCAACTAAGTTGCCCAGGGGCCACAGTTACAATAAGCTAATAACTCCGGGGTCAGACATGTAGATGTCATTACATAAATTTAAATCAAACATATTAGCAGGTGAACTGAGTTGTGTAGTTGTGTCAGTGATCATCTATATAAAAGGATCACCACTATTATGGGTATTTTTGTCATTTATGATTTTTTAAATGCAACTGGCTTTTTTAAAATTGAGCTCAGGCTCGTGTGATGTGGCCCCTGGACTGCCAACTGAAAAGCTCTGATATTGTTTATTTGGATACGTGCGTACTGGGTAGTTACTAGGGCTGTGTATTGGCAAGAATTTGGCGATACTATATATATCATAACAGAGGGGTCACGATACGATATATTCCGAGATATTGGGATACTGTAAGCAAGGCAAAATTTGCGATATATTGTGATTTTTTTTTTGTCCAAAAATTCTATTAAAGAAAAACCTCTTACTGACAAAAAAAGAAAGGCTAATGTTTACTTACAATGCTAATGCTACCCTTACTCTCTGGCGCTCAAGAGGTAGAGGAGCCAAATGGCTGGCTCACTGCTGCCAACTAGTGGTCAGAGGCTGAACTACAACATAAAAATGAACGGCTGGCAGGAAAGTTGACATTTTAAACCTTAATAAAAAATCGATACAGGGCTTTAGAATATTGATACAGTATCGAGAAATGAAATATCGCAATATTTCAGTGTATCGATGTTTTCTTACACCCCTAGTAGTTACATTGTACTACAGTGAACTTACAGTGTATATACAAGGTTTTTACAGAGTCATTAGAAGGTACATACAGTTACTGCAGGTCAACAGCTGAGGGGCCGAACATCCAGCAATTAAGGTCATGTAATTAATCCAAGTATTACAAAGATCTGTTACCTATGAAATAGTTTATGCACTTAATCATGAAAACATACAGAACCCTATAATAAAAGTCGTGGTAATAAAACAACAACAAAACCAAAAATAACACATTCTGCCTCCTATTTGCCACAAATAACATTTTGACATCTCTGAGTTTCCAAATTTTCAAACCAATTTTATTTTCACTTTCATAGTTTTATCTTCAACTGCTTGTAGTTTTATCCGTCTCGAGTGTGCATAGAAATGTTTTTACCAGCTTCTAGCCAAGATTCGGATGTTTCTATAAATACCAAACACGTCTATGCCTAACTAAAAGAACTTGCAGTAATTAAAGGAGAAAACCAGGGGTTTAAGCTTAAGAGATGAATGAACCAATTGGCGGGCACAATTTTGGTCACTCGTGGCTCGGATATGGCCCGTGGGCCAGCAATTGAATAGCACTGATATAGGTTACTAACTTACAGAATATTTATGGGGTATTTCAAATGTACAAACAGGTTGTATTATGAAGCCTTGTTACCTGTACAGTGCCACAATTTAGCTTTATTTTTAACATCCTTGGTCAGAGTCTTAATGTGACACCGATCTGAACAGATTTTACATACCTGTCTTGTTTTAAATTGAAAAAGCACAATGACAGAGCAGAATATGTACTCACTAGATCTTTGGCGCAATATAGTGAATCTTCATGCAGTTTTTATCAGCCACCACCATATCATCTGTGGCTCTTGTATCTGCTCCTAGAACCACTCCATCCTGAAACCAAGCAAAGAGATGCTCATTCCATCAGGCGAACAGAAAGGATTTATTTACTGTAGTCTCATTGCAGTCACTTATTCCAAACCAGGAAGTTGTGAAGCTTTTTGTTAATTTATTACTATGGAAATTTAAAAACTCATCCATATCTGTTCTTAATTGGTTAAATTTACATTATAGTAGACATTTCCTGAATTACTGGAGTGTTTTTTGTGTGAGACTGTCTTGTTCATGTGTCTCACCTTAAAAACCATCCCAGCAATGGTGGTTCCTGTCTTTCTGGCATTGGGAGCTTTGTATCCGGCTTCTGACAAATTGGACTCCAAAACTGCATTTCTGAAAACAAGAAAGGAGCAAAAAAACAGGACATTAGTGCTGATTCACTGCCCTGCCACCAGCTTCCGAGACCTTTTGTTGTTGTCAAACACACAGCAACTTTTTACCTGCGGGTGTTTTCAAAGGAGAAACCTCCAGTCTGCTGCTGATGGGGATTCAAACTGTGCAACATGTTAGGTGCTGATCTGAAATAAATAAACTGGATGTTTAATGAAAAGTCTGTCTTGCTGTGTGCCTGCCTGACTGAATAATGTCAGTGCTGTTCAGCAGTTTTTACTTTTACTTTCTCTTCTTTAGCACAGGCCAAACCTCCCAGCTCTACACTGTAAAAGATGTCTATTCTAACCAAGCATTTGTTATCTCATAGTTCAGTTGAATATGAAAATTAATTATTTGAGCACTATACGAAATATAAACAAATTCTACATGGCCACTTCTGATTATTTTTTGACTGAAAATAAAGCTATTTTTGAGCAGTGCTTTAGAGTTTTACATATTTTTTTTTGCAGAGTATGAAATGTGAAGTATCAAGGTGGAACCTGAAGAGTAGAGATAACAAAAGAAGCAGAAGTTTAACCCTTTACTGAAGCAACAATTAGGCCTTTTAAAGACTAGAGAAGCAGAGCCTGAGCCAAAGGGGTGCTGGGATGCCACCCAGTTAATTGATAAGTCATTACACATGGCATTGAAAGATGATCAATTCAAGGAAATGAGGAATACAGCTGTCCTGCCTGCCAATCAGTGTGATGAAGAAAACAATGACTTTTCTGAACCTCTGAATTAATATTAAGCAACAGTTTTGTGCAATGGTTCAGGTTTAAGAAACACAATAACGTGACATGACGATCAACAACAGCATGGAACAATATTAAAGGGCAAAGTTTAATAATTCACAATTAAGTATGTTCAACAAGACATCAGTATGCTCTATCTCTATTACCTTGTTGTTGTTGTTGTTGTTTTCTTTTTATGCTATTAATAATATGTTTATGTTATAATGTGAATGTACCAGCATAAAATATCTAACATAATAGTTTCCGTTATTTAATCCTGCCCCGCTTAAAAGCCTTGTATAAAAGTGTAGCTCTGCCACTGCTTAAGGTATGTAACAACTTTATTAATCGTTTATGGCAGCGTTCGCCTGTGGAAACATGAATTGTTTTTATATTCTTTACAACTTCACTGAGTCAAATTACCATATTGCCTTTTTGGCTGCGTGCGCATTTATGAATTGTTTGTAAGCAACGTCACGTTCAATCAAGGGCATAAATATGATCATCCAACTAAGATGGTGCTGCATTACTGTTGGGAACATTATCAGTTGAATTGTAATAGTTTTAGATGGACAGGCTAAAAATCTTGGTTTAACTATGCTCCAGTATAGTGAAACAGTTCGTCAGTCTACAATTCCACCATGGTTATTTGAATCTCCAGAAGTTGATCTTCAATTGGGGGAAATTCTTAAAAAGGGAAAGACTCCAATATGGGTTGTATTTAATAAATATTTTGAAAGATATAAAGACAACATAGTTATTTATACAGTATATATACTGTATATATATA